CTGTAATGTATAACTACAGTGTGTCTGTCTTCTAATGGCTACCTCTAATAGGAAAACACACCATGTCAGAAAGCTTAAATCATCTTAAGGTGTCATTTTTGAACATTAATTCTCTGTACTACAGAGACCTCCATCAACAATCCAAAAGAGCAAATTGTGAAACTAGAAAATAACATCAGGGATGTACAGTACAGACCAGAGATTTTCAGCAATTATGTCATTTTGTTTTATCAACCTGGACTAAAATATCAGGCTCATTTTGTAATCTTTGCCATGATGTCCCAGTCCAGTCTAGTCCCAGTAGCGCCCCCTCACACACAAAATGCAAACCTCACAAAGTGCCAATCAGAAAAAGGACATAGACATTTCACCCTTGTCCTTTAAAGTCAGTCAAGCTAAACTGAATGACTAAGCCTTCCTGAGAATAAGTGTGATATTTCAGCAGCTACATTTTTCGACATTTCTTCAATGCAGCTGTAATGTGACCTTCCAACATCAGAGCTCAGTGTGTTGAAGTGATAAACAGTTTGAGAGCAGACATGTCCAACAGTGGGCAGGCCTTTTGGGTAATGAGCCTCTCAGGGTCTCTCTTTGTCTTTCAGCCCTGTTCTGTGACTGACAGGGCGTAGACAAGCCATTCTCTGTAGCCTCCTGTGAAAATCCTGCCTTTCTTTAAAAGCCTGCATGAAGGCAAATCACGCTCCTGTTAATTAATGCAGAGCCACACTTTAGATCAGATGTCTGGTAAACAACATGCTTCTGGAAGTTTGCACCTTTGTCCTCTACCTTCAACCTGAGTGTCTTTGAAATTAATCTCTACAACAAATCTTGACTGATGATCGAGAACATATCAAGGGCAAAAATCTGAAAAATGGTCTTGTGGCACATCTTTGAATTAAATAGTGATTATTGAATCTTTGAAAAAGATAGCAGTCAGTCCGCCTTTAAAAAAAAAGTTTAACAAAGAGATTAAATTAACAGATTTAACAGAATTAGACCTACATCAAAGTAGCTTTAATCAAGTGAGCCTCCAGCATGAAACTCCGGTCCTACACAGAGAGAAGAGCCCTCACACAGCCATTTTAAATTTAGGCTCTATGGATTGAAAATGTGCTGTGGGTTTTTAAATGAAACTGAAAGGGCATAATGTTCCTGTAGCAATGGAAGTCATTTTTTACATGAACTAAACCTCTTTATTTTCCAGGGACACTCAGGGCTGGTTAGCGCTGTGCTCACAAATACAACAATAACACATAAGGGTGGTTTTGCTCGAACCCATTGTCCAGAATTTGCATTTCATCTCACCCAGGCAGCACTAATGGGATGACCTCATTGTAACTCATGCTGTTATCCACTTTTTAGCAACATCCCGTGTTGGCAGAGCTGTATGGCCTAATTAAAGTCTTCCACTGGTATAACAGGGGAATAGAGCAATGATTGATAACACATTCAGTTGCCAACAGGCCTTGGTTTTTATTAGATAACGCCACAATCAGGTCCACAGGTCTAAACACAGTGAAAGTGATATTGAGCACCTTAGATTATCTGATTACAGAGAATTAATCAGATCTCAGATCATCTATATCTGACTGATTAGGCCAGGAGGGAACATTAGGTAAGATATGAAGGTGATTGTAAAGGTTAAGGATTGCCAAAGAGCAAATTTCTTAAGTGTCTGACCTAATAATAGCTGTTGAATGTCAGTATGTGGTTTGGTCTTGCTTTTAGCTTTGAAGAAGGATATTTAATTACTATAAGAAACAAGCTGCATCTAAATGACTGAAGGCCTCTAGCCACATGAATTGTGATTGGATTAGTCTGGACTTTAGTGTTCCACTCTTGTGGTGCTAAAATAATATCTCCCATCAGAGAAACAAGATCACCTGGAAAGGAAGCCTAGGCTTCAAATTCTGTCATTACAAACAAACAGAGTCGGGCCAAGCTAAATCTGGCAAAATGCTCAATTTGTTCCACCCTTCCCAACAAAAAGATCTTTTGGCAGAGCTAACTGACTCACTTGGGATCCAATGAGATGACAGCGAGTGAAGATGGGAACAGAGGGTGATGGATACAGAGCAGGGTTGGACCTCGGTGCCTGTGTTGTAGCAGATTGGGCTCCATGCTGCTCAGCTCAGTGTCCCTCTTTTCTCATCTGTTGTCCCAGCCTTTACAACCACAGGAGCATTTGTATGTGCTTTCCCCACTGTCTGTTGAGGGATTTTTTTGACAGACTCTGGCTTACTCTTGAATTGTTCTCTGCTGTGTCAACTTGGTTCTTGGACTTTTCTGCTTCCAGGTAATAGTTGGAATTCGAGGACTACAGATTTAGTTTTAGAGAGCTAATAGTATTACTGACAGTTTGTACTTCACAAAGCTCCTGACTGTTTTTTTTTTGTCTGTTAGGTTATTTCTTTAACTTCTTTTTCCAGCTTCTTGAAAGCCATTAAGGTGTGCACAGTTGATCATGTTTAATCAAACGTAATATAAAATCCACCCTATCAAGGTAAGACATGAAAATAAGTTCCTTCCTTATTGGCTCAACACTCTGTTGCAGGTTATACATTTGGATTAAACTAAATTGTAAAACCCTGTTTCTTAACTCTCTAATATCCCGAAAAAACATCTGAAAGGTCTGACAGCCAACCTGTTAAGAGTTTCTTTCCTGGAGCTATCATAAATAATCCCATTTACAGTATCGACTGATGACATGGTATTTTACTTGCCCAATACAGACTGGCTGTATCTCAATTTACACAAATCGTTGCATATTATGAAATTGGAACCTTGGGACACTGCTGCTTTTCTCATTTTGTTTATACTATTAGTAATTTTTTGGGATTTCAGCATTTCCATCAAATTCCTACATGTCTGTTCTTTTGCTCAAATGCACCATGGTTTCTGATACTTTACACATTTTCCAAATATCTTCTTAAATTCTGCATTGTCAAATAGATGTAAGAACAAAAGAGTTGGTCTTCTCAAAGTCCATTATAGTTTCTGTTTGTTATAATTCTGTGTTCACCTGTCAAGGGTCGGAAAGTAGGACCCAGAATTCAGGCTAGACAGACAGGGAAATAACTTTAAAGCGTTTATTTTTACAAGCGGGATATGCAGAGGCAGCGGAATGCTACAGGAATGCCTAGGAGAGAAATACAGGTTAAGGACCACAATAATCTGACGGAGGATGATAATGAACGCACAAGTCACTAACCTGGTTTGAGAGTTCAGTCCATGCCCCAAGAACAAGGATTATTCCAGCCGGTCCGCTGACAAGACGCAGCGGGCGCGGCCAGAGAGTTCCAGATGCAGGGACCTAGAAGGCTGCAACACTGACAGGAGATCAGTTCCGAGCAGACGAAAGAAGCAGGATAATCCACAGGGTAAAGTCAAGAGGCAGATCTGGGTTCAGTCCACAGAAGAATCCAACAGGAGTCTGAAGACAGGTCAGGCAAATAGATCAGATGGGGCTGGGCTAGAAAGTCAGAATACAGAAACAGGTCAGGGTCAGGCAAACAGAACACTATAGTAGCCCGAAAACTCTCTACACCAAAGTCTCCAGAATAACCTGGCACTGGTGGCTGACACCAATGAGTTTGAATAGAGGCAGGAACAGGTGGATCAGATAAGTAGGTGATGAGAAACAAGACAGAACTAGACGGGTGAATGAAATGAGAAATCAAGCCGGCCATCAACGCCAAAATCATCTGCCTCCGTTGACTTAAGCTTTTCAACTGACTGCAACTGTTGTTTTTTTTTTTTTTTTTTTTACCAAACTGGACTGCCGGATACTGACCTAGGAAATACAACATCCCATTAAGACTGAGGTTTTATGACTGTTTGTTTGTGTCTAATGGAATTCTGCAGGGGGCTCTCTTTAAAAGAAACAGAGCATTATTTTCATATATTGCAGCTCCAGTATAATATTTAGTATACATTAATACTTATAGCGTTAATTTGTTTTTTGTTTTCATTAATACTGTCAGAAAGTGTTTAACCAATCAATGCACCAAACTGATGGACTAATACAGATAAGGATAATATAAAAATGTCTTGAATTATAAAAAATATAATAAAAAAATGGTCGCTGATCCTATTAACTGGTTATACTGGAAAGATTCCTAACGAAAACTGCTAATGAGTTTTTTGCATTACTGCGGAGAAAATATAGGTCAATTTTTTGTGGAATTGTTTTAAATGAGCCAGATTGGAAGGTGTTTGAGCACTATTGAGCCTGGTTCTGCTGGTGGTTTCTTCCTGTTATAAGAGAGTTTTCCTCTCCACTGTTGCTGCAAGCATGCTTGGTGTGATGGATTGCTGTAGAGTTAATGAGTCGATGCAATCAGCTGGTTTTCCTTAGATAGAAAAATCTGATCTGGTTGAATTGTCTCTGTAAAGTGCCTTGAGATGACATGCTGTGAATTGGTAACTATATAAATAAACTGAATCACTGACCTGCATAAGGTAATGCCAGATTTCTAAGCTACAGTTTTGAGTGTTTTGGAGCCCTTGAGTGGTTGTTGTCCTGCACAACCCACGTTCTCTTGAGTTAAAGATCACAAACTAATGGTTAGACATTCTCCTTCAGGATTCGTCCAATTGTGGAAAGTTATCCAGGTTCTAAAGCAGCTTCAGTTCATCACACAACGTTATCTTGGTGTTCTCTTTTGTTTTGTTGAGATATGTTGTCTGATATCTTATTTGTATTGACTGTTGCTTATTGTGATATATGTTGCATTTTGAGCTCTTTGCCCACTTCATACTGTCAGAAAAATTCTCTTAAATCTACTTCTTCATGCTTAGTTTGTGCAGTAGTAAAGCCTGACTTTGATTGAGGAAATTGAACTCAGCTTTTCAAACATTGTTGATCACATTGATTTAGTGGTTAAGCAAGGAGGAAATAACTTTTTCAGATAATGCCAAATTGATCTGAAATCTTGTTGTAATGATTTTGCAGTTGAACAGGAAGGTTCACTAAGCGACTACTTGTCTTTTCCCCTTAGCTGACCTACCTGCCTCCCCCGTGGGGAGAGTGTGAATCCAAAGCTCTGGAGTCGGGCTTCTTTCAGGTCTATAGTGTAACGGCCTGCAGAATTGACTGCGAAACCCGCTACATTGTGGAGAACTGCAACTGCAGGATGGTTCACATGCCCGGTGAGTATCCCTCTTGGGATATATGATGATGTATTGAACGAGCATTCATCAACAAGAGTTTCAGCAAGGTTGCAGCATTTTGTAGGAGATTTACCAGCTTCATATTGATATGATAAATCAATACTGGATTAGATGTTGCCATTTTAAAAGGCCCTAGAAGTACAAGGTGTTCCTGGGAGGTGGAAGTAGGCTGATTCTCACAGAAAGTCTCATTCATCCCTGTTTACTTTTAGTTTATGTTTTCAATAACTTCATCTTAAGGCTCCAGTATTGATTCAGTACTTCTGTATACATTACTTTTTCTTTCCCCAGGTGATGCCTCCTACTGCACCCCCGAGCAGTACAAAGACTGTGCTGAGCCTGCCTTGGGTATGTCAGCCTGGACACACACACTCATCGATATAAGTCAAGAGAAAACACGTACAGCACTCTTGGTTTATGCAGGATTAAAGCATCTGTCAGTTAATAGGCTGGGTCTGTGTTAGAGGTGAACTCTAAGGCAAGATAAAGTTAAAGGTGCAATCAGAGAACAGCTAAAGGCTACCCATGGGATTTTAGTACATTCAGTTCGTTCTGCATTCTTATCAAACTGGGGAATAACAAAGTGCAGAGGTTTTAGCATATATTTGCTAATTCCACATGTACCAGCTGAAGTTAAGTTCAAATGTTCCTTTAAGACTTCCCACTTTTATCTGAAGCACTCAAGTTTAAACAGGAGCAGAGACATCAGGGACTGGTTCAATTTAATGTATGGATGGTCAGAGAGATAATATTTATAACACATCTCACTGCCTGCAATGTAGTAGGTGTTGAAGTAGGTGTTGGAAATATGTCTATATATATATATTTTTTTTTTTAACATCTTCCTTATATTTTATGAAGCTGAATTGATAAGGAATGAACCAGTGTGTAGAAGTTCCGATCACATTTGAGTTGGATTTTATTATCTAACAACAGGTAAAAATACACATATAAAACCAGACTCGGTGCACTAAGCATCTATAAAATGATTTTCCTAATTTCGTTTTCGGGTAAACTGGACAAAGAACTAGAAATGGTCAAAATATAAAAACAGAAATGTTACTGCAATAATGGGTCTAAAGGTCTCTTTATAAAGTAGGGTGTCAACAATTAAATGACTTTTAAAACGTAAAGTAAAAGTGAAATAAATCATTCTTATCTTAAAACTCTTAGTTAAGCTAAATCTGAGGTTTGACAGATGTTATCAACAGCACAAATGTTGTTCTTTAAATCCGCTGATTTTTAAAGATCTCCAAAATAAATACAAAAAAGAGATAAGAACTGGCATAAAGGAATACAAAATAAAGCTGCATAATGAATAGTGAATTGGAGCATGTTATGGTGAGAGTTAGCTTGGTTGTTAGAGCAGTGAGCTTGTGCTCTGAGAGGGTTGCAAGTATCTGTGAACCCCACAGCCTGCACTCTTGGTTTCTGAGCAAGACCCTTAACCCTACAGTACATTGCTCCCTGGGTGCCACACAATGGAACCCCACTGCTCCCCAAGGGGATGGGTCAAATGCAGAGAGTGAGTTTCCCCATTGTGGGACGATAAAGGTATTAAATTATTTATTTTTTTTAACTTTTTTTTTTTTTTTACACATAATTCAGGTGGAAGTAACACAACCAGAACAGCATTGTTTACATATCAACAGATTTACATATTTTGCCATAGTATTATTTCCAGCCTGATCAAATCTCTTTGGAGATGTTCTTAATAATATGTTTCTTCGTCTTTTGCTCAATGCAACTTCTCTGTAAACCCACCAATCCATTTCGTTATTGTTATATTTAAATCAGAGCCATTTTAGCTTTATGAATAAGTTATTAACACCAACATTTATTTTGGGTAAAAAACAAAAAAAAGGGTTAGATTATTAGACGAAGCTCTCAGTCAGCATTGTCTGTATTTAAAAAGACATGAAACAAATAGGAGGGAAAACAATTACCTTGTTTTCCATAAATAACATACTTTGTACAGTTTCATCTTTCGAACTGTACAAAGATGGAACTTTTAGGTGTTACATATTTAGATGCTAAGTTTTACATCTATAAAAAGAACCCTGGTTAAAGGAATGTGTAGCTGTGTGGATGCGTCTACTCATTCTGTTCTTATAATTCCTGGAATGAGTCAAAGGAAATTTCTGTGAACCATTTAAAAAAGTGAGCTATGAAAAAAATCCTCATGAGGATTGACAGTAGAATCAAACTGTGTGTTTCTATGTTTATTGGCTTTTACATTATGGTGGGAAAGTGCCCATACTCTGTCACATTTACAACCTCAGTGCTATAATGTTGGATTTTATGCTTTTTCTGTCTTTCTGGAAAAAGGTCTTATGTTATATTAATGCTCCATGTAAGTGAGGTAATTTTATGGATTTTCAATAGATGTTTTATTTTACTGCTCTTAAAATGACTACTATAGAAGTAAAGGGATAATACAATACATTTCCTAACCCAAAAAGTATTACAGGTCAAAGAGATTAGACATAAAAACAAGTCCTTATACAGATGGTTCATAATTTTGATGTGGCATTACAGAATCTATACTCTAAATAAAACTCGCCACTGTTAATATCTACCAGTGCTGAACAGGGAAAGCAGCAGGCTGCGAACCTGAAAAGCCTATTTTTTGCCATGGACTCTCAACTGCTGATTTGAAGCTTGGATCCATAAAATTCTGCTCAAATCTACTTTATATTGTTAGTTTTATGGTAAAATGATTGCCAGAAAACATCATGGCTGTATCGTGGTGAGCCACAGCTATTGTATGTGCAAAAACTTAATGCAGTATTAAAAATACTGCATTCTAAATAGTCCATCTCTTGCACTGCGATGGACTGGCGATCTGTCCAGGGTGTACTCATCCTCTCGCCTGTAGACAGCTGGAAATAGGCACCAGCACCCCTCGTGACCCCGCTTGGGATAAGCGTGATGGAAAATGGATGGATGGAAACATCAAAAATGTTTATGTTAATAAGCTCATAAATAGACAAATCTGATCGAATGTAATTACTCTGAATCAGGGAAGTTACACTGCGCTGTGCAGGGAAGCGGACGGTTCTGCTGTATTTTCCTGCAGTTGGCTTCATTTTCTGGAAACTAAAATGCTTTCACAATCCCTAAACAAAAACACACAGGATTAGTTTAACTTGGATCATAGAATGCAAATAAATCCTTACTCAAACTCCAACTGCAGATTTGATACACTTTCCAGAGCAAAATGCATGCATCAAAGTTTGATTAGATTTCCCTGCTTGTGTAACTGTTTCACTTAACAAACAAATCTTTGTTTTGCTTTTTGTTGCATCGCTGCCTTCTAACATCTCACTTCTGTAATATTACTTTTAACAAAGCCGTTTTAATGTTGCAATAAACCTTCTTTATTATTTATACTTTTCCACTGAAGGTGTTTTAATTATTATTTATATTTTTACTAGGCAATGTTACTAAATAGCTGTGAAATATGTCTGCTAAATATAATATTCTATGAGGAGCTAATGTGTGATAGCAATTTGTAGTAAGAGATAATATGTAAAGAAAGTGAACAAAGGTTTTGAAGCTCGGACAAAGAATCCATCCTTTTTGTGCATAGAGTGGTGCTCCGATAAATCCAATAACGTCACATTTGAATAAAAAATAAGCTACCACTGTGAAGCGGTAATACACTCTCTCTCTCCTACATTTCTGCATGGCCTGGCAGCTATTATCACACCATAGGGGGGAATCTTTTGCTCTGTGATCTGCAGGTCTGCCACAGAGCTACTTGAGTGAGGTGCAGCCTTGAAAGCATTAACCCATTTTATTTTTCATTCAAAGAAGAGCCAATGGATTTCTCGAAAAATCTGAAATCAGATGATTTCTTAAAACTGTATTAGAGAAGTGTTTCAGCAATGATTGGTTTATGTAGCCTTTTTAAACAATGGGAAAAACTCCAACTTTAAGATGGGTGTTTTTGAACTTCCTTGGACCAGAGGACATTTTTGACCCAGCCAATTGAAAAAAAGCTTATATCCCTTAACATTACCATCCATCCTGTTGGAGACTTCTCCTATTGTAGGCTTAAAGGTGTTGCACATAACTATCCTAAAAGTGTTTTTTTCCCCTCAATATACCAAAGCAGATCCCTGAATACATCTTTCTGTGGCAGAAATGTGTTCCTGTCAGGGTGAAGGCTGTTTCAACTGCAGCTGCTCGAGGGCATGTTTCTGTTCGCAGCTTTACCTTCTTTCCCTCTGTGATGCGGACTATGACTTGGGCTGTCATTAGAGCTTCTGTGGAGCAAACATTTACATGACCTGAGCGGCTGTGTAAAATGGGGCAGTGTTGAGCAGTCGTGTTTGCTCTATTTCCGTCTTAGTGTTGTATTTTGTTATGCGTGACCTTTGAATTCAGGTGGAATACAAAAGCAAAATGTCAGATTCACTTGGCTTTCTGAGGCTTGGAACATGTACAGGCAGAGGCTGAGAAAAGCTACTTTAGTCTGAAACTGATATTTTATTCATGGTTATCACTTTTGTAAATAAAAAATAGCGCTAAAGTACAGCAGGCGCTTCAAAGTTTCCATAGAAATGTAATACTAGTGCTGAAAAGTACATCTTGATTCATGACAGGCTAACGAAGCTCTGTATTGTCTTTGTCAAGAGGGAAAATAAAAGGCAACATATGAAAATAAAAACATGCTTAATTACAGTTAGATTAAATTCATGCTAATTATTCTATCAATAACTAGACTGATGTTGTGACCCATCTGCCAGGAACATCAGGGTTATTTTTAACAACACTTTTAAATGTAACACACAAATTAGTGTTGTTGTCAAGGCAGCTTTTCTTCCAACTGTCAGCTCATTAAAATAAACGCCTACATGACTTCTGACCAGTTTAAGATAGTAATCCATCCATTTATAATATCTCGCTTGGGTTAATGCAGCTTCTTGTCTGTTGGTGTTAATCAGGCGAAGCTAATGTTTCTGCAGCCTGTACTGTACATAACAGCTCGCCTTCTGTCAAGAAGCAAAGGGCACATCAACCTTATTACTGCAAAACTTTCACCTGCTTCCTGTTTCTATTGTATATAGTTTTAATAGCTTGGCACCAAACTAATCTGATCTTTACTTTTAAAGTACAGCTCGGGCTCCTAGAGACCGCAGAATTAATATGATGGAGCCTTTTCTGTGAGCAGCTTTGTTTTTTTAAAGATCGGTTTTGTTCTGTGAGTTTGTTGTGGTAATTTGGCTTATTTTGTTACTTTAGTAATTTATTATGTGTAGCACTTTGACCAATTTGGCTTTTTTTTGGATGCTTGAGTTGACATCATTATGAGGAGTATGATATCATAATTAGGTGTAATTTGTGTGACATAAAGCCAAATAATTTGGTTCTCTGTTAATTATCACAGACTACACATTATCACAGATACAATTAACATTTTTATTTTGGTTTAGAAAGTCTCTTAATACATCTCATGACTACCTCATATCTTCCTTAAATAAAATCTGATATAAAAATGTCACATTCATGTCATGTTGCCTGTATGGTCCCAGCTGACGACTGATCTTCTCACATAATAGGAAATTAATGTGTCTATTGTTTGATTTGCAAACGACTTTCCTTTTGGCTCTATTTTTATTAGATTTTATTGTTAAGCCTTGGCCAAGGTCGTTTTAATAAGAAAGTGATCTTTTTACCGTTATATTTTAAATGTCTTGAGGCTAGATGGCCTTAATAAAATTTGCACAGTGTCAGTGCAATATTAATGACTAAGAAGCTTCAGATTCTATTTAATAATACTATAAAACTAAGACACTTACTGCCTTTCAATGTGAATATGTCAAAGATATTTACGATACTGTGGATTATCAAAGAATATTTGTCTAAAATGGTTCCAATCTATGTCAACTTCATCTCATCCATCCACAATCCATTTTTTTTTCACCACCCAAATTTCCGCTCCTTTGCATCGCCTTTGCCATTTCTATCCAAAGCTAAATTGTCAGCATTGGAGAGCAGCAGCTGCGTGTGCAGGACGCCGTGCAACATGACCCGCTACAACAAGGAGCTATCCATGGTCAAAATCCCCAGCAAGACCTCAGCGCGCTACCTGCAGAAGAAGTTCAACAAGTCAGAGAAGTACATCTCGTGAGTTGGTTTATTTTTATATCTTTATGTCTGCAGTAAAACTTGTCTTTGGTGTTAGTGGTGTTCTTAGGAAATGTATTAGCAAGTAACAGATTTTGGCTCTTTTTGCCTTTAGTTTAATAATAATTTATTTATTTCCTTTTCCTTTTAATATATTTATATATTTTTAATTAAATTTTTTTATTTCACGGCAGCTGATATGGAAGTCCCAAATCTCATTGTATCCGTTGCAGAATATAATGACAATAAAGGCTTTTTGACTTTGACTTTTTGACTTGACTTATAAAATCTATTTGAAATATTACAAATATATTTTAAAAAATACAAAAAAAAGACACTTTTGTATTGTGATATATGCTTTTACAGTAATCAACCTTAATGAACATGGGAGATACTACCAGTAATTTATCCAAAACAGCTCAGATTACCTGCTGTTAACCATATTATTCCGTTCATCAGATCATCTGATGAGCTGCGCTGAGACCAAAACTGAGCCAAACTTCAACATCATGCAAAAGTGCTCATACATATCACACACTAAAACCACAAATATTAATGAATTTACATGTATTTTGTTTTACACCCAACATTAGTGTTTCCTTTTTGTGTATTGAATAAAATAGGATAACATGTTTTTTTTTTTGTTTTTTTTCTGATTGTTTTTCTTTGTTTTTTTCATAAATCAGCATCTAGATAATGTGGCGTGTTTCTAATTATTCGTCCTTGGTCAGTATTTTGTAGATCCACCTTTCACTGTTTTACAGCTACAGTCCTTTGGAGCTTTCTGACTAGTTTTCTATATCTAGACCAACCAGTTTTACTTTTGCACTGTAAGTAAAACTGAATGGAGAGTTATTGAAAATCCCTTTTTAGGTGCTTTCATGAATTCTTAATGTGATTTAGGTCCTGACTTCCACTAAGCCATTATAACCTGGTATACTTTGATTTACACATATAAATAGGAATTGCAGTTCTGACTGTATGTTGGGCATTTATATTTTGCTGGAAGGTGAACCTTTGCTCCAAAAATAGCTCTTTGCAGCCTCTGGCAGGTTTTCTTTCAGCACTTTCTTTTGTTTAGCCTCACCTATCTTACAATCAAAATGTCAGATTTACAGTATGCAGTGCATGACTAACAGTTGCTCTGTAAACAGATCATCACTTCTAAGCCTCGGATCCACTTAGCTTCTCCAGAGCTATCATGCATGTCTTTTTATTTATCTGATAAATGGTCTCCTTGCTGGGACTGTCTGTTTAGATGGACAAGCCCTGCAGCTTCACATATCTACTGTATGCTCTGCATTTTGGGAGGGTGGATTCAACAGTGATCTGTCAAATAGCTAAAGCTTGGGATCATTTCTTTTTCTAACCTACATCCACAACTTCATACCTTACCTGTCTGTTGTTTTCCTTGGTCTCCATGAGCTTGTTTGTTTACCTCTGATGCCTTCCAGAACAGCTGGATTTCTACAGTTCAAATTACAAGCTTTGCAGCAATTCCTCTCACCAAGGGTGCATGCAGGCAGTGGTGAGAAATAGCTTCTCCAGCAGCACTCTGTCCTGTCTGTATATGTAGCCCACCTATAGGTGGTATTTTGCTTATATATATGCAGTATGTATAAAAAGGTATAATAAGTTAAATGGGACCTGAATATATTTGCAAATATAGTTTCAATGTTGTTCTAATTAGAGTTCTGCAACATACATAAGATTCTGCATCAGGGGGATTTTACTGTCTGCTATAAACTAAGCATTTGCTACATGGACATTTTTTTTCCTGCCACCTAATGACATGAATTGGGATTCATTACAACTTCATATTTTTCCCCTTTTGCAGAGACAACATCTTGGTTCTGGATGTGTTCTTTGAAGCTTTGAACTACGAGACCATCGAGCAGAAGAAAGCCTATGAGGTAGCAGGGCTGCTGGGTATGTCTGCCTGATTGACTTTCATTCAATTCAGACTGATCAAAAACAGGAAATATTGCCTCGAGAGAAGACAAGGTTGTAAGATCTTTAAAAAAACAGAAAGTCATCATTCCCTCTTGTGAAAAAAATGCACTGTTTTTAGATAAAGTGAACTCAGTGGATCCATAGAGAACAAATTCAAGCTTAATCTGAAAATAAATAAATAAATAAATGTATAATTTTCCATTTGTTGCAATGTTGTTGCAATCTGGGCATGTGTGCTTTGAGCACTTTAGAAGGGTTTTGATGTTGGCTGGTAAAATAAAGATCATTCAGGATAAAATATCCCTTCATTCTTCCATTTTCCTGTTTTTTGTGCATCTTTCTACAGGTGATATTGGTGGACAGATGGGATTGTTCATTGGAGCCAGTATCCTCACCGTCTTAGAACTTTTTGACTATGCTTATGAGGTCAGTGGCATTCCAGTTTTTATGATTCTATTCTTGCTTTTTCATTGTTTTTTTTTCTAGAAAGAAATACTAAATAATTTCTAGAGTTAATCTTTATAAAGTAATCCACATGAACCAGAGATATAATGTCTATGAATGCGGAAAAAAAAAGCCATTGTTAATTTGTCTGAAGAGGATGTTAGTGGATTTTTGAAGGCTTTTGAAATTTGTTATTCCACAGTGAAAATCCATTAGCCACAAATTGAGGAAAAAGCATCTATGTCAAAATTTCAAGGTTGAAATCTGTGCATTATTAAATGCAAAGGACAAAAGAAAAACTTACATTGTAATAAACTGTAAAAAAAAACTTTTGACTATGTTTATTACTTTTGAGATGAAGATAAAAAATTCAAAACTGTGTATTATGTTCTATTTGTTTTAAAGTGAAAGGCAGGCAGGAAGGAAAGGAAGGAAGGAATGTCCTAATATTTTGCTTGAAGTCTGGGATATGCTGCAGTAATGCCACTGAAAGATCACCATTTAGTCTTAGGTTTTTAAATTGGTCTACTCAAAGTTCAGCCTTAAAAAGGCTTGTCTCTACAGAAAATAACCCTACAAAGAAAAGTTGGTAAAAATTATTGGCAGGTGGTAAAACAATTAATATATTCAGGGGATATTAATTTTACATTTAAGCAGGTTAGGTTTGGAAAGCTTCCCTCCAGTATTAAATAAAATCCTACAAATATTAACTATTCAGGACTCTAGAAATTAGAAGCAGATCATTAGATTTATAAAATCCAGGAGGAAGGTCTTGACTTCAATATTCATTTTAATATAAGTATAAATTTTGGAAAGAAAGAAGAAGTCAAAAGTTCTCAGACCCTTATGTCAGTCATCACGAAACCCCAAACCACTAAACAGAAGGTTTAAAGCTGCTGTTTAACCTCCCTTTTCTTTTAGGTATAATAAAATCTGCAATAATACTTAAAAATTTTAAAATCCTCTGAGCTGGATGGGTTAACTCTTTCTT